CTTGCTACCATCTGACTTTATACTTACATCCACCCAAGTAGAGAGGAAACATTATCTCAATGTGGTTTTTGTTTTCAATTCCCTAATATCATATTCAACATCTTTTCAAGTGCTTATTTGTATTTGTATATTTTCCTCAAAGAAATGTCTCAGTCACATCTTTTACTCACTTTCAAAGGCTAAGTCTTTTTATTACTGAGTTCTTAGAGTTCTGTATACGCTTTGGAAACTTCCTTATAAGAAATATGATTTTGAAATATTGTATGCTCTTCTAGAGGCAGTCTTTTGGGGGGGAGTTATGGTGGGTTTAATTTTTTTAATTTTTATTTTTTGTGTATGAGTGTTTTGTCTGCATGTATGTAAGTACATCAAATGTGTGCAACGCCTACAGAGGCTAGAGAAAGCATCAGATTCCCTGGAACTGGAGTTAAGGACAGTTGTGAGCCACCATGTGGGAACTAACTCAGGTCCTCTACAAGGGCATCAAGTGCTCTTAACTGCTGAGCTACCTCTTCAGCCCCCCTTTTAAGGTATTTTAGTACATGTTCTTAAATGCTCCCCCATAGTTAAGAAAATATTCAAAGCAGTCTTTTAGTGAATTGAAGAGTAAAAAAGAACAAAGCTTGCATCCCCTAAAAAGAAGAATGGCCTGCTAGTCTCCATCTAACCCACTAATGGCATTGTGCCCTTTGCTCTCTGTAGCAGACTGTCTAAACATTAGACATGGCCAATGGAAACAAGAAAGCAATATTCTAACCTAAAGGTGTGAAAGCCTCCCCTGAACCAAGCAGTAACTCCATCAGGAACTGATGTATGAGCAGGTGCTCTTAAAACAGCACTATGAGAAAAACAGAATCAGGCATCTTGAACCTGAGCTACCTGAGAAACCGAACTAAGCCCAAAACGCTAACAGCAAGCCTGACTTGGCTACCTTGGGCTTCATAAACAAGAAAAAGCAAACTTTAACATGGTTAAGCTATGTTGACTTTCCTGAAGTGAACCTATCTAACCAAACCTAACTTGAACCAAATGCCACAGTTAAGCAAAAGCTTTTGAGTCCTATCCACCAAGATCAAACCCCAGCCCAGGTTCATGAAGTATCACCTAGGGTCATGCTACTACTCTTCCTAGTACCAGAAAGAGAAAGTGGCAAGAACAGGTATTTGGAAAGAAAGCAAAGTTTATGCTAAACATAAGCAATCAACTATGAAACTGCCATCCCAACAGGAATTCTGCACAAACCCCATCAAAAATCCATTTGGGTTAAATTTTTCTTGAAGCTGAGATGAAACCTGGAGCTCGGGCCACAGTGGTGCAGCAAAGAGGAAAAGGCTACTGACTGACAGTTGCCTGACTGACTCTAATCTCAGTTCTGTCACTTCTGAGCAACAATTCAATTTCAGTTAATCCAGTACAAATTTGGCAAATGCCCACCAAGCATTACACTTGGTATTGCAGTACCAAGTAATGTTAAGTGAGACAAGGCCCCTACTCTTATGGAATTCATAATCAAATAGAGGAAGAATAAATTACTTGTAATTCCTAGTAGTCTACTGGGCCAAGAACCAGGGATAGACAAGAGCAGAATCATTAACACTAAAACTTCTAATTAATGTCCTGAGAAGTTCAGAAATATAGAAACCTCAATGTACATTCTCCCCAACACCCAGCCCACTAGCTAGTGTTTTAAGATATTTTTTAATTATGTATGTATGTGTCGTGTCTATGTGTGGGTATGTACATATGAGTGCAGTGCCTGCAGAGGCTAGAAAAGGATGTTGAATCCCCCAGAACTGGAGTTACAAACAGTTGTGAGCCACCTGCCCCAGTGGGTCCTGGGAACTGAGTTCAGGTCCTCTGCAAGAGCAATACATGCTCATAATAGCTAAGCCCCCCAGCCCACTAATTTTTGCTCCACAAATGAGCAAAACAGTTGGGTGGGGATTTTGACCCCCTCCCAAAACCACTATGCATTGGTAATAGCAAACACAAATAGATGCTTCTCTGTTGAGAGATGAGACAATAAGTCAAAAACAATAGCAGTCTAAAATTCAAGCATAAAAAATAGCTTCATTCTGAAAACTGAAATAAGCCGTAAAGAAAATACATTATGACTGTGAATTATCTTCTAATTTAGCTAGAGATTTAGAGAATGGTAAAGCTTAAGAGAAGCAGATATTACTTTTTAAAAGGTTTATGGATCAGTATTTCCATGATTGAATTCATATACCTATATGAAATGCTGAACCCAATAAGCAAAATCTACTTTCCCTTCAAAGAAAATGTGTGGGCGCTAGGTGGTATAGCTAAGTATAGTGTACTGGTGCAATACTTCCCACTGTGCACAAGGCCCTATATTCCAAACTCAGCAGCACCAAAACATAATACTAATAAAGACAATCTTAAAAGTTCAAAACTTTGCTGGGCATGATGGTGCACACCTTTAATCCCAGCACTCGGGAGGTAGAGGTAGGAGGATCTCTGTAAGTTCGAGGCCAGCTTGGTCTACAAAGCGAGTACCAGGCCAGCTGGGACTACAGGGGAAACCCTGTCTCAAAGAGACCGGAAAAAAAAAAAGTTCAAATATTTATAAAACAGGGCTGGGCTGAAAGATGGCTCAGTGGGTAAGAGCGCTTGCTGGTCTTACAGAGGGATCCAGGCTTGGTTCTCAGCACCCACATGGTGGCTCACAATCATTCATAACTCCAGTTCCGGGTGATCCACTGCCCTCTTCTGTGGGCAAACATGCATATACATAAAATAAAAATAAATTAATTGAAATTTATACAACAACAAGCAATACCATATAACCTCTGCGCTGTGAAGTGCCCATGAGCCATCCCAGAAGTAACACGGAAAGGCAGCCAGATACAATACCCTGAAGTTGGGGGAAGGAAATGAAAACACATCTCGTCATTACCAACATATCTATTACCAACACTTAAAATTATGAACTAGACAAGATCATAAAGGAATGTCATAGGGAGAGAAGTGTCCTGAGGACTAAGCTCCAGAGAACCCAAACCACATAGGGTCTGTAAAATAAACTGGAGAAGGAATGTGTAAAAAACAAAGAGGCAGTGAGGTAGGAGAAAAAAAGAGTAGTATGGTGGCCCTGAAGCAAATGAGCCAAGTGTATCATGGAGGAGACGGCAGGCATGTAAAGGGCATGACATGGGAAGGGTGTGAATGTAGATCACCACTGCACAGAGCTGCCTGGAGAGGTGGGGCAAAGCACTGACTGACAACCTAACAGAGAAAGACATCTTACACTATTAATATGATAGCTCTCTCAAGAATTTTGACCATTTATGGAAGAAAGGAAATGGGCAGCAGGTGAAGGAAAAGGTTTCATTGATGATGCTGTAACATTTATTTAAGATGAAATAACATTTTGTGTGCTGATGGGAGGCAAAACAAATATGAACAAAGACTGACCATGACACTGAAAATAAAGAAGGAAATTTAGGCATGCGGGGGCAGTGCTAGGGATGGTGGCATCAAATGACTATGGTCTTTGTTGGGGATCTACGGAATTTAATAGGAAAACATTATCAGGGAAGGAGAGAAGTAGGTGTCAAAAAGAGAAAAGAATACAACACTGTGGAGGGAAGGACCACAATGCAACTAACAAGAAGGGCTAGGAAGGATCAGGGCAGGGACCAGCATTGGTAAAAAATAAAGTCACTAGCCAGGCATGGTGGTACCAGCCTATTATCCCACACTTGGGAAGGAAAGGCAGGAAGAACAGAAATTCAAAGGTAGGCTGGGCCACATGAGACCCTATCAATTTAAAGAACGGCAAGAAAAGAAGGAGTAAGACCACCTGAAGGCCTGGTGGTGAGGGGGAGGTTCAAAGAATCAAAATGTGCTGGAAAAACCATCTGAAGTTATACCCAAATTATCAAGACTTATTGAACAGAGACCCACAGGAGGTGCCCCACAAGTCGATCCACAGTCTGTCCTCCTCTCCAGTCCTCCTTTGTCTCCATGTCAGCAGAGAGCACCACTAGTTTTCTAAGGCAGAAAACCTGTCTGTCTGTTTTCACAGTACTGACAATTTCTCATGGTGCTTAAGGGCACATTTTTATGCATTTCTCTTCACTTAATCTTTAACTCCCATGGTCTTTCCCTCTCTGTACTAACTTCATAAGGAAAGCAGCAACAACTATGTTTGACCTGAACATACGTTTTGTTCTTAGAAATCTTTTCTTAGTAAACATTTACTATACAAACATGAAACAGTCTCATCTGAAAACTACTGCAGTCAAAACAGGATTGACAAGGAGTCACCATCCCAGAAGCAATTAAAGATGTGCTCCATAAGTGCACAGACTATCTTCAGGGACCCTACAGGACACAAAGAGTGTCAAGGAATCACTAACATTGATGGGTGGACATTTATTAATTACACCTTCTTTAACTTCCTTCTCTCTGACAAAGATTCCTTTATAACCAAATAACTGAAAATTATGCAGTTAAAAAAATTGTCATTGAGTATACTAGAAGAATGTGCCTAAGACCGACCATCACAGAGACATGGAAAATTCTCCTCTCTCTCTCTCTCTCTCTCTCTCTCTCTCTCACACACACACACACACACACACACACACACACACACACACAAGAGGAATACAGTTCTGCACTACTACAATGTCCACTGTTTCTTTTCGAATCACCACACACCCAATTCTTTTTCAATATTCTCACCCTGCCACCAATAAGAAGTGAATCAACAATGAAATGCTCCAAGGTTTTTCTTTTAGGTGATAGCATGAATTAGGATGAGGCCATTCTTCAGCAACAATAAAGCTGTAACCCTACAACTACCAATTACCAGTAACAGCTGACAATGAAAACACAGCCTAGAACACAAAAGGTAACATTCTTCTAGGTCAGAGAAATCACACTTACAAAATCCACTTCTATGTTTAAATTATTTAAATTTAAAATAATTTTAAATTATTCTTATAGCATATCCATTAATTCCAATAACTTACCTGTCAGCAGCTTCAATGTCAAAGCAAAACCTTCTGTCAATGGAGTCAGCGTGCCTTTTGGTGCATTCTTTCAAAAAGAACACCTCTCCGTCTCCCTGCAAATAAGCAAAATTCTCAAAACTCATGTCCATACTATGCACTGAGCTGCTCTACAGAAGCCAAGTCTAAACACTTTTTAGAATGAAATCTGAAATTTTTTTTTCATTTTTCTAAGCTTTCCTGGATCTTGCTGATTATAGTGACATTAGTCAGAGTTCACCAATACTTATTATAAGATAGGTTAACAGCTGTTTCCAGATGCTATAATAATTACTACTCTGTTAATATACTTGAGTCCAAATTTATTTTAATTTCATTCTATATTACACCCTGTGTTATAATCAATGCAACCAATATTGACCTATAAAAATTGCAATTCCATAAAGACTCACCTAAAAGTACACTATGGGGTCTAGATCAGGAATGTTATTCACTAACACTGGAGCCAGTCTATGCAATTTTCCTGCTTCTTTAGTGAATCACCCTGAATTTTCCTGTACCTTTTTTCTCTTTTATTAAAATGCCGCTTGGTTTCCCTTTACCAGCATTAATACAGGTAGAAGACAGATGCAATGCAGGAGCACAGGTGCTCGGTAAAGATCAACTACATGAAGCCTGAACACACACATGTAGAACACTGAGTAGTTTCTAGGATATGAGGATCTGTAAGTAACATTTTAAAAGCTCCCAGATAAATGTTCAAAACACCACAGCTTATGGCTGTTTGATTAAAAATTGTTCTCTGTAGACTCAAGTCTTTGAACACTGGTCAGCAGGAAGCACCGTTTGGGAAAGGTCATGGAACTTTTAGAGGTGTGCCTCTGCAGCACATCACTGGCGGCATTTAGAGAGCTAACGCTATCATCCCACCTCTAGTCTTGTTCTCTGCTTTATGTGCATGCTTGAAGAGGAACACTCCCAGCTTTCTGCTCCAGCCACCTCTTGCTGCCATGCCACCCCCTCTCTCTGAAACCATTAAGCCAAAATAAACTTCCCTCTCTAAGTTGCCTTGGTCATGGCATTCTATCACAGAAGTTGTACCAGGAGTGGGGTGTGGCTGTGAAGAACCTGACCATGCTGTTTGGGGGAGGAATGTGGAGGACTTTGAAACTTCACACTGGAAATGTGGTGGAATTTATAGAAGCCAAGCTTAACAGGCCATTCTTACACAAGCCCAGAAGACTGTAGCACTGAGAATAATATGGTTTGAGATGTTTCAAAGGAAGCAAAAACAGGCCACTCCTGTGATATTCAGGCAAAGAATCTAGTTGCCTTCTGACCCAGTCCTAAAAACTCACCTGAGGTTGAATTAAATAGTTACAGACTGACTACTGGGCCTGGTGGCATACACCTTTAATTCCAGTACTCTGAAGGCAGAGGCAGGCAGATCTATGTGAGATAAGGGCCAACCTAGGAATATAGGGTAAACTATCTCAAATCAACAACAACAAAACAGCTTTAAAAATAAGTAAAAAAAATAGATAAGTAAAGTTACAAACTAATTTCTTTGGTGGAGATATCAAGACAACCTAATGTCAAATCTGTCATATGATTATTGTTTGATTCTTATGCAGACTATCAATGAAAAAGGGCAAGTAAGACAGAAAGAAATGCAAAATGTGCAATTCTGAGAGGAAAAGAGCACCAGGAAGGTTAGTGCTGGAAGAGATGCTTTAACTGATAAGAATATTAGCACCGAGAATAGAACTTGGAAAATGAACAGCAGACCCCAATCTTATCTGAAGAAATATTGGCAACTGATTCCTGCTAGGTGAAGAAGAGCTGATCTTCCTACAACAAGGGACTCTAGATAGCTGACTAGACTTCGGTGGATGGACTTACACTGGGCAACAGCTGGGGACACTGATGACACAGTGGGCCTTAACAGAGATGACAGACTATATGGACTCCACTGGGAGGGCTATGGGAGGGTACCAGTGGGAAAGATTGTTTGAGATGTTCTGTATGAAATACACAAAAAATTCAATAAAAACAAATTTTAAAAAAAGAGTATTAGCAACATTAAGGAGAGGCTTCCTGCTAAGACACCGCCCCCCCAGCTAAGCCTCTATGTGGTGAAAGAAAGAAGTCTAAGGGGTTTTCAGCTCCTAGAAAATCATAGCATACAAAACCTGATGCAAATGAGATTCAAGGGGGCAAGGAAGTCCACCCCAAGTTGGCAGTCAAATTTGGCAGTATTATTCATGTGGTATTGCTTTGGCGGCATGAAAAATGTAAGAGTGAAGAGGTCATGGATGATTCCTCTACAGTCTCAGAGAGCCACTGAGGCCAAGCAACATGTAGCAGGGTAGTCCTTTCATGGAGGCCCTGAGAGACCATTTTATGAAACTGTCAAAATATAGCCTGGGTTGAAGTAGAGACCCCTGGATGTTAGGCACGCCAGAGTCATGAGACATCTGCCAACCAGAACTGCATGCAGGGAGTGAAACCAGAACAAGGGAAAGATATATGTCCAGGCAGCAAAGCTGGACGAGTAGAGCCACCTAAGCCCTTTGGAAATAAAATCCTAGACACTGGATATGGAGGTAAAGGACTTAGTGTTTGTCCTGCTGGTTTTCAGTACTGTTTTGGTCTCGCTGTGTCCCTAATCCCTCTTTCTGAAATAGGAATGTACATTTTGTGCCTTTTATGTTGGAAGTGTGTAGCTTGCTTTTTCACTTTAAGGGATTACATGTAAGAGATTACCTTAAGTCTCAAAAGAGTTTGGACTTTTGAACAGTGATGAGATTATGAAAGACTATACTTTTAAAGTTGGAATTAATGCATTTTGCATTACGATATGGTTCTCCTATGGGGGGACAGAGTGGAATGTAGTAGTTTGGATGAAAAATGTCCAATATAGGCTCGAGTATTTGAACACTTGATCCGTTGGTGATGCGTCTTGGGGAAGGCCATGGAACCCTTAGGGAGGTGTAACCTTGATGAAGGAAGTGCATCAGCAGAGGCAGACTCAGAGGTCACAGCCTTGCCCCACTTCCAGTTTCACTGTCTCTGCTTCCTGGAACGTGCTGGAAGGCATGAGCTATGAGATTACTGCTCTAGCCACTTCCTGCCACCATGCCTCCTCTGCCATGGACTTTCCCTCTGGAACCAAAAGCCAAAATAAACTCTTCCTTCTATAAACTGCCTTAGTCATGAAGCCCATCATAACAATAGAAAAGAAACTAATACACAGCTATATTCTAAAATATGTTATTTTATCATTTAGAGTCTAAATTAGAAAGGTGTCACTAAGTAGAAATGTCTTAGAACTTGAATTTACTACTACAGGACTCAGACTCAAAGCTGATCTCACTGTGAACCCCTTGCCTTTCCACAAGTGATAGATATCCCTGCTTCAGCCTCTTCTCTATGACGCTTCGTTTCCATGTGCATTTCATCATTACAAAAAATGTTTTCTTGCAACCTGCTCTAATTTTTTTTTTCATGGAAGAAGCAAAGGTTATGTAGATAGATGTCAGTCTGGACTAATTCTGAATTCACTAAGCAAAATAATAACTACCTAGCAAGCAAAGAACTGACCTGTTCTCTTAAACTGTGTGGCCAATTATGTTCACTACTAGTGGGAAGACCTAGGTCTCCAGACCCACAACTGCTGTAAGCTGCAACCCTGCAAAGGCCACAGAAAGATCCCATCCCTTGCACATTCGGCTTCCACGGTCCTTTTGTTCCATCTTACTATCATGCTTGGCTTGCGGTTCACTTCTTTGAGATAAGCAGTTAAAACCATGGGGGAAAACCACACGAAAAGTCTATGTGCCTAACTGAATGAGAGCAGGCAAATTCTCCAATGTAAATTCAGGGGGGTGGAATGACCAATGAATTACAAATGCTTACTATAGGTGTTATCATTACCTTCTAAGACACAGTGACATATAAAGATTCCACTGTTCTCTACTTTAAAATCTGACTGTAAAGATCCAGGAATGCAATTTAGAAACAAAGCGAAGATTTTAATTCTTAAAAACTATTTATCAATAGCCAGTGTAAGACTATCAAAATGACAGTCCCAACAAGTATCTCTCATATAAAATACAAGGAATAAATAAACTCCAATACTTACCAGTTTTCCCCCAGATCTATGTTCAAATGGGATCATATTGAACTTCTTGGCTGTTTTCCGATACATGCAGTAGTGTTTGACCCAGCTGGACCCAAATGGAGCAGGCCCTTCAACAAAACAGATCTTTATGTTTCTCCTCATTAAAACACAGATACACAGAGTAGCAACCATATTACTGCAGAGGAAATTCCCAGTAAACAGCACCAAGTACAGTGCAACATTACAAACGGGCATTAATACCATTGCTAACAGAAGGAAAAGCTAGGCATCAAGAGAAGCCCCATATGGACACTGTGAGACTTGATTGGACATTCTCAGCAACACAAATGCAATTTAAAGTCATACTTTAGGGTCAGCGAGAATATTCCATGAGTAAAAGTGCTTGCAGTGTAAACCTGATAACCTGGTTCAATCCACTATCTCATGATAGAAGTAGAGAACCAACTCCTAAGAGTTGTCCTCTAAGCTCTACACATGCACTATGACATATATGTACACACATTCACGCAAAATAAATTTTTTTTCTTAAAGTCATGCTTTAGTCAGGCATGGTGGTATATGCCTTTAATCCCAGCACTCAGAAGGCAGAGGCAAGAGAATTTCTATGAGATCAGGGCCAGCCTGGTCTACACAGTGAGTTCCAGGCCAGCTGGGGCTACAGGGAGACCTTGACTCCAAAAAAAAAAATCTCAAAATGATTTAAAGGAAGAGGAAAATGAAAAAGATGCCCCACTTGACTATGAAAGGCAGGGTTATGAAGAGGCAGGAAGTGGTGTGTGTGAATATAGAGACAGAAGGAGAAACACAGACAGCAAAACAGAGAGAGAAAGGGTACCAGTCAGAACTGATAGTAGAGGGAGGAGGGGACCAGGGGAAAAGATTCTAATAACACTGTCCCTCTTAACTCTGTTGTTACTTTCAACAGTGGCTCCCTTACAAACAAGCTCTTGGGCCACAGTGTAGAGCAGAATATAGTAATATGGCTGGACAATGCTGCTGTCTGCAGAGGGAATGGGTGCAAGACACTGGCTGCTCTTGTAGAGGACCCACCCAGATTCACTTCCCAGCACCCACATGGCAACTCAGAACTGCCTGTAACTCAAGTTCTAGAAGATCCACCACCCTCTTCAGGCTACACAGTCACCAGGCACACACATGGTGAACTTACATACATGCAGGCACTCACACACAGTAAATAAATAAATAAATAAATAAATAAATAAATGTAAATAAATAAATAAATAAATCTTAATGGAGCTGGAAAGATGGCTCAGCAGTTAAGAGCACTGGCTGTTCTTGCAGAGGACACACACAGACATTCAGTTCCCAGGACCCACATGATATCTCACAATTGCCTATAACCCCAATCCCAGGGACTGAATACCCTCTTCTGACCTCCATGGGCTCTTACAGTCATGAGGTGCACATAAATACACTCAAAGTAAATAAATAAGTCTTTTTTAAAAAATATGCCTCACAATCTCAGTGAGCAAAAAAAAGTAGCAGGGATAATTCCCCAAATATCACAGAAACTACAGTAAGCATTGCAAAGTTCCAAATAGACTTGTCCCAGGGGTCTGTGAGAATTTAATTCTAAAACCCCACAGATACCAAAACCCTGGCTTCTCATATCTTAGAAAAGTGGTACAGTCTTACCATACAATCTACACACATGTTCTCACAGACCTGAAATCCTCTCTAGATTACTTATAGTATATAATGCAACTAAGGAAATTGTTGTTAAACTGTATTGGTTAGGGAACACAAAAATAAAAGAAAGAAGTCTGGAACTGGGTGTGGAGGTGCACACCTATAATCCCAGAACGTAAGAGGTGGAGGATAGGGATCTATGGCCAGTCTGAGCTGCAAAGAGGGTTCAAGGTCAGCTTCAGTTACATAGTAAGACCCTATCTCAAAAAAAAAAAAAGAAACAATAACAGATAGTCTGTATATGTGCCCCTATAGATAGATGCAATGGTCTGGTTTTGTTTTTGTTTCTTTACTCAAGCATTTTCAGTCTGTGATTAGTTGTATTTATGAGTAGCACTTGTAGATATGAAGACTGTGATTTAGATTTTAAAACCAGCCGCTCAGTCTGTGTTTAAGGGCTTCTTACTTTTTTCCTGCACATACAAGTAGCCTTCTGCTGTAAACTGGCTTGCTCGCTTATGGTCCTTGGGATTCTGTCTGATTTTGTTCATAAGTTCCTCCACTTCTGACCTGGTTCCCTCAAATCGATTCCGAGTCTACAACAGAGGAAAAACAACACAGATAAACAGATAATATTTAACTATGTATACTATAATGTCTCTGTACAACTAAAATGAAATCTATAGGCTTTTTTCTATACACACTTCTCAAAATATCTCCATTCTTTCTGGTGTCTCTCCTTATTGAAAGTCATGCTGAAAGACAACAAAATAGAATGGTAAAATAGTTAATGAAGAAGATAAACCGAAACCAGAGACTGTTCATTTCTGAAAGTCTCTAACACCAGGAATGAGTCTATTATCCAACAGAAGGTTTCTTGTCTTAATATTTTCCATTGTCTGTCTGTCTGTCTGTCTATTTCCATATGGAGATTTAAAAGCAAATAAGCTGTAAAAAGATTTACTTTGGGGAAAAAAAAGGTGTTTGCAACAATCAACATGATTCAAGTTGTTACTATTATAGTAGAAATCTGAACAATAAAAGTTGGAAAATAATTATTCTTTTGCAAACTAATAAAAAAAATGAGTGCCCATTTCTCTGGGTTGTGGTAACTACACTAAAAAATAACACTTCTTTCATGAGAAAAGAAAAGCAGGTAGGATAGCTCACCTGAAAACAGTGTCCTAATATATAAAAAGACAAATCACATTTCTGAAACCCAGAAGATATGGTCTGTCAATATCTGCCAAGTGGCCTCTCTAAACATATCATACAAGCTGAAGAGACAGTTGCTACGGCCATTGTTATGAGTCAGCACCACCCAGTTTATGGACATTTCTTTCATCCAGACTCAAAAATAATTACATTAATACCAAAAAACTGCTGATGTGAAACGGCAGAGGAGCTGAGAGAGAAAATTATTATTGAAATTTCTCCTTTCTCCTCCCTACAATGAAAAGGGTTGCCAAGGCTCATAAAAATGGAAAAAAATTATAAAATGGGTACTTTTATCTCCTAGGGGGATGAGGAACTTGATAAATGTAGACTATAAAAGAGAAAACTGCAGAGGTTTGTGGTTTTTTAAAAATATTTAATCTATTATTATTTTTACGTGTGTGAGTGTTTTGCCTGCCTGTATGTAAATGCTCCTGGGTCATGCAATGCCCATAGAGGTCAGAAGAGACTTTCGGATACCACAGAACTGGAGTTATGAACAGTTATTAGCCACCCCATGGGTGCTGGGAAATGAAGCCAGGTCCTCTGCAAGAGCAATCAGTGCTCTTAACTGCTGAGCCATCTCTCCAGCCCCTGCAGAGGTTTGTTTTAAACAAAACTAAGGGCCAACATAAGGAACCTTTTTCTGTATTTTAAGACAACCAAGTCTTTGAAAAGGTAGAACTTGTTTGTTGAGCTGCCTGACTCTCTCCTCTCATCTCTCATGTCTCCTGGGTTTTTCTCTCTGTGTATACTGATTTCACATTGGTTTTATTCTCACTATTTCAACTGAGATCCTTCCAACTCTCGTGTGCTGGTTAGTCTTTGTCAACTTAGCACAAACTGGAGTCATCAAGAAAAAAACAGAAATTGAGGAGCTGTGACCTCATCTGTGGGGCATTTTCTCAATTGTCAGTTGATGCAGGAGAACCCAACTTCCAGGCAGGTGGGCCTGGGCTAAGAAGGAGCTGAGCAAGCCAGGAAGCAGCAGTCCTCCATGATCCTCCTCAAGATCCTCCTCTGGTTTCCCTCAGTGATGGACTGTAACCCGTAAGCTGAAATAAACCCTTTCTTCTCCAAGTTGCTTTTGGTTAGAGTTTCATCAAAGCTACAGAAAGCAAACTAGAATGTCCAGCTTCCTCCCCTGAGTGTATACAATAGATACACATCTGCACACATGCATACATTCTCTGCCTCTTTAATCCAGTGAGTTTGCACACAACATTCCCATTACTTAAGTTAATGCCCAAACTGTCCCACGTATTTGTTGATTTTGTCAACACTTGTGTTCAATGTAACCAGGCCCTCAAACATTCAGGAGCCTCTTCTGCATCCCACCTTCAGGTTCCCCTTCTAATTCCCACCCAGACACTGCCACACAGCGCCCCTGTGCCCTACGGCCCCACTCTTCAGGCTTTTGCAGTGCGATGGAAGCAAGGCTTGCTTTTTAGTGTACCGTGTTTCTTTTGGTAAATTATGACAGGGCTAAAAATCACATTTTAATCTCTTTAATCAATAGTGTCATATTTAATCAACAGAATAGCTACAATCTAGCAATTCCTGATTCTAAATTCCCCTGACATCTGAAGATGTCCTTTAATTATAGTAATGCTAGGCTGTGAATATTGTAATCAATCACATTAGATCATTTAACATTGGGACTAAAGGCCAGGGGTATAGCTCAGTGGTGAAGGGCTTGCCTAGCATACAGAAACACTGGACTTAATCACCAGCACCGCAAAAAAAGAACTAAAATAAACTGTTTCAGCCAATACTGGAAAAGCTTTACTGTGCTTTAATAGTTAACAACATAAGACTAGAGATCCCTGGCTAGTGCCACTCAATATCAGGACACCAATGAGGCCTTCCTTCCCACCTCTTCTGTACATAAATGCTTTAGCAAATGAACATTTCCAAATAAACCAGCCTTAAGGTAAGCCTCTTATAGCAGGAGTTCATTTGAGACTCAAGACGGAATGCAGAGATATCTGAGGATGTCTGGAAGACTGTTGGGTCAGGCTGAGCCACCCTATCAAAAGGAAAAGAAGGGGGTCTGGAGGAGGGGGCAAGCACTGCTTTATCCTCAAATAAAGCTTTGAAGGCAGAGGGCAAAATATTGCTTTGTTTCAAATAAGAATTACTATTTTTCAGTGAAGTTTTTCCATCTTGGCTCCATGACTTCATCCACAAATCAAAAGAAGGCAGAAGTATTTAACACCATGAAGATTTCATGAATGTCTGTAACACACCAGAGGACTGCTCTAGCAACCTTATAAAAAGATGCAGAAAAGTAGGGTTCCTCTGACTGAGTTATACGCACGCACATGCATACACCTCACTAAAACCCCATGCCATCCCTCGAGAGCTCTACACATAGACAGGCGGGAGAATGAGGAAGAGTGGGCTGGGAGCTCTGAGAGGAATAACTGATAGGCCTTAGCACTCACAAAACACACAGCAAGGCAAATAACAGGCACCTCTGTCTGGACCCATCAGAATCTTAGAATCAGACCCAAAGTTTGCCACTAGTGCCTAAATCTGAATCCTTACCACTAGTAAGAATCTCCTGTTACCTCAAGTTGTTACATACAGTACAGGGAAACCAGAGAGCCTTGACAGGATGCTCCCCAAATCCTGTTCTTACTGTGCCCAGGCATCCAGGTGTGACTCATTTTCTAGCTTAGTACTAAATCTGAAGTTAACTACCACAGGCCCAGGACTGAGTAGCAGCTTATGCTCCCACACTGGCACTGTCCTCCAAGTAGTGGGACTGCGAGAAGAGGCTTTTCCTCCCTGTGTCTACGTCGCATCGCTGAAGTCATGAAGACTCTGTACACAGAGCAAATAAAACATCTGGAACAATAACCAGAACATGATAATATTTTATCATTTCATTACAGTTGAGCTGTCATAACAAAACTATTTCCTGCCAAAGGAAAAATATCTGCCTACATTCTTAAATACTTCTTAGCCATGCTCAGGATCTACTGGGGCTTCTTCCTACTGACTTTGACGTTTCCCACCTCATTTCTTTTGCCCAGGCTTCCTCACCCCACAGGCTTTGGGGGATGGGATAGGAAAAGTTCAATATTAGCTTTGTAAAATAATCTTTAATTTTGATGCAATTTCCTTTCTTCTAGAAAAATCTACCTTCTAAAAGCCATCTTGGCTACTTTCTTACTTTCCATTTATTACTCTAGATTATAGAAAATGGGTGAAGAATGAATCCCTCAGAAAGTCTAACCATTTTTAGAATATAAAAGGTGTAGCCAGATGGGGAGGAAAATAGGCTGCTTTCATTTTAAGACATTTTTACCTTTTTCCGGATTATTTTTGATATTTAATTATTTTACTATAACGAAATCCTAAACAGCTGACAAAAATTATCTGAAAAATTATACAGAGATAGCTGACCTTAAAATTAGGTTTAATCATTTCAGTGTACATGATATAACACTTTTTTTAAAGCCATGTAACTAGGATTTTCTTCCAGCAATATGTAACTTTACATAGTCAGCACTTTGCCCTTATTATTCTAAAATCACCAGAGAATAAGATGAATGACCAAAAAATAAGTAATGACTGCACACCTCTGAGGTACAGCAGATGGAAACGAATGAATGTGTGTTTCAAAAGTGCTGGAATTTCAGAGGGAAAAGTAGTGCTAACAGCAAAATGCGGGGCAGGGCACAGTGATACACACCTGACCATACAGCACCAGCACATGGAGAGACCATGACAAAACCAATATGGAGGCCAGTCCAAGAAAAACAGTTAAGACCATGCCTCAAAACAAAACTAAAAATAAATTAAAATCTAAATGTGAAAAAGAAAAACTAACCTCATAAGTCTGGGCTATATGTAGCTCAATAGTAGGACACCTGGCTAGCATATGCAAGGCCTTAGGTTCTATCCTCAGGGAGGGACGGAGAAGGGAGGTAGAGAGAGGGCACACAGAACAAGTGCTCTCAACTGAAAGTGAGGCAGAAAAAACAGCTTCTATATGACAGGTACACAGGTAACCTCAGAAACATGTGGAATAAAACTGAGGGATACTTGGAGAAGAGGCTGAAATAGAGAGTAAGCTCAAGATTTAAGCAATTTGCTGACGAATATCCTTAAGTTCTGAAAGATAAAGACAAAGATTTTTTTCCCCCAGCAAGTATTTTGGCCATTTCCTCCACAAGAAATGAATGTTGATTCCAATGTGTAAGTTTTTATTAACCAGGTCATTTTGTGAAACATTTCTAGATAAAACCTATCTTTCAGTTATGCTTATCATTATTTCATGACTCAATAGGACTCAGTTCCACTGCCTGCCGAGCCTCTCACCAAATCCCCTCTTCCTTATGTATTATAAATGTACTCCGGCGAATAAGCA